TGGTAGCATTATAGGTAACGCTGAAAGAGCGTTGTGACAGGTAGGATGAGATCCAGGAGAAAGCGGAATCTCTGAGGCCGAGGGAGTGTAGTTTTTTGAGGAGGAGGGGGTGGTCGACTGTGTCGAAGGCCGCAGAGAGGTCAAGGAGTAGGAGCACTGAATAGTGGCCATTAGCAGGTCGTTGGAGAGTTTGAGTAAGGCAGTTTCGGTGGAGTGTAGGGGACGGAAGCCGGACTGTAGGGGATTATAAAATTTAGCAATTTTTCTCCTTCACTGATGTGCGTTGATGAGGCTGCACTGATATGAAACAATGATGAGCACTGATAGGCAGCAGTGGTGGGCTGCACTGATGGGTGGCAGTACTAGGCACATATGGGTGGCAACACTGGGCACTGATCATCAGTGCCCTGATGATCGGTGCCAATCTGTCCTTTGACAATTGCCGGTTATCGGCAGTACTTTCCTTACGCTGTGACAGCGTGAGGAAATTGCAGCTGATCACCGGTAAATGCAGTTGCCAGTTATCTGCTGTGTCATTGGACACGGCTGATCATGTAGTAAAAGGCCGCTGGGATTGGCCTTTTACCACACCACATGATCAGCTGTGTCCATAGGACAGAGTGATCACCGAGGGCGCATTCTGGGAGGATGCCCTCCCAGAACTGGACAACAACGCTGAAGCCGTCATTCATAGCCCGGTTGTCAAGTGGTTAAATCCTGTCTTGGTTCTCTTTGCCCCATTAGTCTCAATATCATAAAGGACTCCCTTAGCACCAGTTTTGTACCAACAATCCTCAAAACTGCTGCCATCACTCTGGTACCTATAATCCCAACACGGCTCTGGACAACTTAAACAACTTTTGCCCACTATCTCACTTACCCTTCCTTGCCAAAATCCTTGAGCAGGCTTTGATATCTCAGTTACATAATCACCTGACTTTAACTTAGTTGAACCCCGCCAATCTGGTTTTCGACAACTGCACAGCACAGAAATGGCCTTGATCAAAGTCAGTAATAGCCTTCTGTTGTTAGCTTCTGATTCTGTCTCACTTATTCTACTGGATCTTAGCTCTGCCTTTGACATTGTACATACTGTAGACCACAATCTTTTACTCTCTCACCTTGAAACCATATTTAGAGTCTCAGAATTGGCATTAAAATAGATTAAGTCATATCTTACTTATTGCTGTTGCTTTGTTTCTCTTGGCAGATTCCAGTCTGATATTGGTCCAGTCAAGTATGGTGTTCCTCAGGGAACAGTCTTAGGTCTCTTAATTTTTAACATTTACATGCAGTTCAAGAGGAGAGAAGCAGCCAAAGTAGAATCAGGTTTAATGTGGATGTATTTTGAGTGTCATCAGCATAGAAGTGATAATGGAGCCCATGTGATCTAAGCAGTTGGCAAAGTGGAAACATGTAAATGATATAAAAACTTGGATGGCACACAATTTCCTTTAATTAACCACTTGCCTACCCAGGCACTTTCATGTAATTGTCCTGTTTCCTTTCTTTTATCCGGATATTTCTTGTGTGCTTTGAGGAGCTACCTTTAAAATGCGCTATATAAAATAAAGTTTATTATTTACTTGAAATTTGTTCCACTGTACTACTAGTAACAGACTTAAAATGAAACTCCAGGAAATAATAATAATAAAAAAAATCAACTGCCCTTACAGTGCCTTCTCACAATGCAAGTGTTCAATGACTGTAGACATTTTTATAGCAGCCTCTTCACGAGTTCCCCACTCCTTCCTACAAGTCTTGCTGAGGGGGAACCCATGCGGGCATGCTCCCAAGACGTGCTGTGTGTATCCACAGACACACACGGCGCAACTCAGCCACACCCCTGAATGTGTGTGCCTAATGACAGGTCCAATAGGAATAGAGTAAGGAAGAGGAGCACTAATTAACACAACCAACCTGTATATAATAACAAAAACCTCTGATGAGATCGTGTGTTAGCGCTACAGGAATTGATTATTGTATTTGATTTGTGATGCTTTTGGAGGTTTTAGTTGTCTCCCAGCTGGCTGCCCCACAGATCTTTTTAACCACTTGCTGCTCTCCGATTCGCGCTTGACTCATTTATTGTCAGTTATCCCAATTTAGCTACAAAAGTGAAAATATACTTTAAAGACACTCACTAATTTGCTTTCTTTCCATGGACAACACAACTATTATCTCCAAATAACTATTATGTCATGTGATCTCACTGGAAAAAAAAAAAAAAATTGAATAAGTGAAAGTGTGAATACCATTTTAAAAGGACTGAAAGAAAAAAAAAAAAAAAATGTGATCTCTCACTGCTGACTTCCTCAAAACATGAGTTGCCTGGATGTCTGGACTTGCCACTTACTAAACCACTGACCCCAAAACAAGCATGCAGCAAGGAAAGCCAAAACTCTGATCTACATGCCTGTTCTTGGTCAGTGAGTAAAATGAACTGTAGCCAGAGGATCAGCATTACATTTAGGCAACAAACATTTTGAATAAAACAGCAATGGCATACTACATACAATATATTCCCTTAGCACATGCTTTAATATAGAAATCCAGTGTTTAATAGATCAGTCTCTTCCTACACTGAAAGAAAGTATTAAATATATCAAATAATGCTGACAATCTTTCAATCCTCTCATTGGACTTATTATTTCACCTGAAGTCCAGCTTCAAGCTAAGATTACATTTTTGCAGATTATGGTTGATGCGGTTTGCATTTTTTTCACACCCATTTTTGATCCTTTTTTTTCATGCATTTTGCACTTTGTGCAACTTTAGCTGGTTGTCAAGGAGTGAGAGACTGCCGGCATCCTTAACAACAATGTTATTTACTGGTGGTTAAGGAGCAGGCGGCCGCTGCCATCCTTAACAACCAGTAAACAACATGGTCGATAGGGGCGCAGTGGCCTCCCACTCCTTAACAACCGATGAGTCATCAACTGTCAGTGGGGTTCCCCACTGACAGCGGAACATAGACAAACACATTGCCAGCAATTAAAAACACAGTGTTAGGTTCTACTTACCCCCAATCCCTACCAGGCCCTTCGGGTGTGTTCTGGATTTTAAAGGGAAACCCACGGAATTCTGCAAACTGGAAAATGCACTAAAATTCACATAACTGTGAACCTAGGATTAAAGCATTACTAAACTCACAACAGTAAAATCAGTCTGTATATGCAGTAAAGCATGCTAGTTATACTCACTGTGGAACCTAAGGGGTTAATCCTCTACATTGTGCAAAAAGGCTGTTTGATCCTGTCTTCTCCAATCCTCCCCTTCTTCTACTGTCCCCAGTCTATCTGCTGATAGTACAGAGCTCTGGCAGTCACTCTGCACATGCTCAATTTAGTGTGTATTGCTAGAGAGTTTTTTTTTTTGCTTTGGGAGGTTGCATGTGATCAGCACTGTCCGGTCAGGGATTATGCAGCCTCAGAGGACAGTCAGAGCAAAATGAAACTGGACACTGATAGAAGTCACAAGACTAAGATATACTGCTGATGAGCAAAGGTAATTAACAGTTTATATTTACTACAACATTTGCATTTCCATGTTGTGTGTACTGTGGGAGACCAGATATAGTGAATGCAGGGTCCTGGGTATAGTAACATTATGTAAGGAGTGGACTTGTTATGGTTTCATCATTAGGCAGGCTCCAGCAGCAGAAAATATAGGGGAGTATTGGATCAAACATGAGATCTAGCCTCTGATGCCTAGAGGGCAGAAGATTATTAGTTTCTTGCCCCTGGTGGGGAAGAATAAAACATGTATAAGTTTTCTACGTTCCTGACAATAAAAGAACAAACATCCCACTCTCTATATTCAGTCTAGAAATAAAGGCAATCGGTTTTCCTAACTACACAAATTTGAAAACTAAAAAAGTTATGTCAAAAGCAGCCCAATAGGATACAAAATATATTACCTTCCTGTCACAGGGTGCCCCCCAAAACCCAGGAGTGCCTACAATATGCCATTCCCTGATTTTAGATGCTTCTGCCATAAGGCCCACCTTTATAACATCCCACAATGAGAATAAGTGCACTTCTAAATATGTTAAGGCTGCAATTTGCATTGTGGTATGTGCTGGCAATGGTAATCAGCTTAGACCCAGCTAAAGTAAAGATTTGGATACCACAGTTTTTGCAGGCTTTGGTGACATTCTGCTTCAGTGGATAATCTTGAAACACTCATATTGAGCAGCATTTGAAGGCAACTAGTATTTGGGAGGTTAGTTATTGGTGACTAACTAGTCACTTCTCCATGTTTAGAAACCGTATAGTAACATTTCAATGTTTAGAAACCTTAGGAAATAGCACAAAATGCAAAATAGAAGGTTTTCACCTTCTTGCATAGAATTGAGCCTTTAAAACCACTTTAATATTGCTTTAACAAAATATATATTCTTCATTAAATAAAAACAATTTAGTCTAAACATCTTAAGCTTTTTTTTTTCCCCTTCAGATTTATTTGCCCATTAGGCTGTAAGAAAAAACTCCACTCAAGGACACAAGAAATCACACAAGCCATCACCACAACAGCTGCTTCATTTCTACTTCAGACCCCAATCTTTACTACTCTCCCCTATTGATTTAAATGGTACTAAGCATACATATTGTGATGGCAAAATAAACATACATACATACATACGCACACACACACACACGCAATACATCTGCATCTGACAGAAGCGCTCTCAGCACAGATTTTTAATAGATAACAAATGTCGAGGTCTCAGAAGCAGTACCCATTTGATCCCAAATCTCCTGTATACAGGATACCCAGAAATGTTCCCCCATACTCTTGGGGTGTAATCAAGAACGCATATGACTGATAGGAAAAGTTTTTCATTTGGAATGATAAAAACTGTACAGTACTAATTTACGGTTTTGTCTGCAAGGTAATATTCTAATCACATTTCCCTCAGTTTACTTGTCCTTCCATGCATGGATACACAAATTCTAGACCCCTTCTTGGCTTTGGTTTTGTTGTTGTTGACAGCATATTCACATTTCAGGTTCACTGGGCTCAGTTTCTGAACTTGGCATACGTAGGTCAGGGTCATTTCTTACCATTGAAAACAGGCCAACCACACTGAGAAGTGCAAGCAGCATTGTGACAGCACACAAGCTGAACATGTTCCTAGTTCCGCTCTGGTAGTCACTATCATGGAGCACTAGAAGCCCCAGTCCAGCAAGCAGGTTCAGAGGCACTCTAAACCAATTCAACACTCCAGCCTGCTCTTTTTCTGGGATTAATCGACGCCTCAGAAAGCTCATAGCTGGGAAATAGAGTCCACAAGCGAGTTCAATGAGAAGGAAAGCAAGAAAGGACTCCGTTGGTCTCTCCTGTCCTGGGCCTGTAGAGAAGGTCAGCATGAAAAGTGAGAAGAAAACCATGAGTACAGACAAGCAAAGTATATGCATGGGCTGCAAGTGATATTTCTTTGATGTAGCCAGACGATAAAGCGATGATCCAGTTGCACTGGCTGCCATAAAGCCAGAGAAGGCGATTCCAAGTGGTGTGTTATGAGGATCCAGCACTGGAGTCCACAGGAAAATAAAGATATAAACTACGCTCTCAAACAATGCCTGAATGGCACCTAAAAGGACAACTCTGCGGTCCCTCAAAAGACATCTCAGCCCATCGCCACAACTTCTGGTAAAGCCGGCACTCTGTCCGTGGTTCTCATCCCACACTCGGAACGCTAGAACAATGGCCAAGCCTAATAGGGGCACTGCAAGCACAGAGGGTGAGGCCGGTCCCAGACCAAGCCATTCTGCACATAAATTTGCTGTAACTCCTGCTAAAATAGAGATTCCTCCATTCCAGGTAGCCACTTGTGAGAAGGTGTGAGGGAGCCAATCTGCAGGGAAGTCATGATGCTCAACGTGTTCATGAGTATACCACGATTCAAAGGAAGAAAACAGCAGGCCACTGGAAAATCCGCCAAGAACTCGGCTAGTCAGAAGCACAAAGTAATCCTGGGACAGCTTGCATAAGTAACATGCTGACAGCAAAAGGCAGAAAAGTATGACGGATTTCCTACGCCCCAGTCGTCCTGTCAGAGGGCCACTCACCAAACCCGACAGCACAGTGGCTCCAAATCCACATACATAAATGATGGCGATCTGTCCCTCCAGGAAGTGGTAATGCTGGTATAATTTATATAAATAGGGACCTTGTAACCAGTCCGCTGCCAAAGCAGGGAAATAAGCTCTGAAAAAATCATGTTGAAAATGTCTGAAGGCTGGGTTACCTAATGCACTGCTTGTGGTAGAGGTTTTGGAATGGCAGGCAGAAAACTCCAACACAACCCACAGAGCCAGGAGCCCCAGCAGAACCAAGTATGCAGTGACCAACATGTCTCAGCGAAATGGCATTCTGAAAGAAGAAAGCTGGAAAACAAAAAAACAAAAAACAGGATTAACACTTTAAATGATTAAATAGAAAAAAAAAAAAAATTTTTATTATCTCTAAAGCCATTTTTTTTTTGGGCTAGAGTATTATTATTATTATTATTATTATTATTATTACATTGAGTTTATATAGCGCCAAAGGGTTTGCTCAGCGCTGTACAATAGGGGGACAATACATGGCACAGTACAACAAAAACAGACAGCGTACGAGGGGTAAGAGGGCCCTACTCTTTCAAGCTTACAATCTAGGAGGGAGGGGGTAGTTGAACAATAGGATGTGGCTGAGGGGAATGAAGTGGCTGAGGGGGATGAAGTGGTGGGAGGAATGAGGGAGAATGGCCGTTAGGTGAGGGTGGGGTAGGCTTCCCTGAAGAGATGGGTTTTGAGGGAGCGCCTGAATGTGAGGAGGGAAGGCGACAGTCTGATGGATTGGGGCAGTGAGTTCCAGAGGATGGGGGAGGACCTGGAGAAGTCTTGCAGTCGTGCATGGGAGGAGGAGACCAGGGAGCAGGATAGAAGGAGGTCCTGTGAGGAGCGAAGGGTACGGGTAGGGTGGTACTTGGGGATCAGGTTGGTGAGGTAATCAGGAGCAGTGTTATGAACGGCTTTGTAGGTCAGGATTAGAAGTTTAAATTTGATGCGTTGGGCAATCGGGAGCCAGTGGAGGGAGAGGCAGAGGGGGGTGGCAGAGGTGGAGCGGGTGGTGAGGTGGAGGAGTCTGGCCGCTGAGTTCAGGATGGCCTGGAGCGGGGAGAGCCTGCACTTGGGTAGGCCAGTGAGAAGAGAGTTGCAATAGTCAAGGCGTGAAATGATGAGGGAGTGTACAAGAAGTTTGGTGGTGTCTGGGGTGAGGAAGGCACGTATCTTGGCAATATTGCGGAGATGGAGCCTGCATGTGTTTGCAAGTGATTTGACATGAGGCAGGAAGGAGAGGTTCGAGTCGAGAATGACGCCAAGGACTTTGGCTTGCGGGGCGGGAATGATAGTGGTGTTGGTGGTGGTGATGGATAGGATGGGGGGGGGGGGGGGGGGCAGGGGGAAAGACGAGGAGTTCGGTTTTGGAGAGGTTAAGCTTGAGGAAATGGAGCGACATCCAGTCTGAGATGTCGTTTAGGAGGTGAGTGATGCGGGCGGAGATAGTGGGGGTGAGGAGAGGGGTGGAGAGGTAAATTTGGGTGTCGTCAGCATAGAGGTGATAATTAAAGCCATGGGAGTGTATGAGTGGCCCAGGGAGGAGGTGTAGATGGAGAAGAGAAGGGGTCCAAGGACAGAGCCTTGAGGGACCCCAAAAGAGAGGGGGAGGGAGGGGGAGGTGGCGCCATTATAGGTGACGCTGAAGGAGCGTCGGGATAGGTAAGATGAGAACCAGGAGAGAGCGGTATCTCTGATGCCAAGGGAGAGTAGAGTAGAGTAAGGAATTTTTTAAACCACAGTGTCACAAGTCAGAGAATTCCAATCCCAGAGACAACGGGGAAGTGAAATCTCTTTAAATTTAGTGGAATTTTTCTCTTGCCACTGGGCAGATGTCCCCATTAGAATATTTCCCCTCACCTCCTGTTCTGGTGACGACTATAAAATTATGGATTTTCCATAGCCATTTTGTCCCATTGACAAAGTTCAGCAACACAAAGAGGGGGAATCATCTAAAAAGTCCTTAAAACAGTTAACACTTTTACACTATGCAAAACTAAAAAAAAAAAAAAAAGTTGGTTTTGTGAATTCCAGCAATTCACATTGTTGAGAATCAAACCACCAGGCTCTGCTTTAGTATAACGATAGAATCAACTATCGCTACATTTATGGAGGCCATAGACGGGCCGTTTATCAGCCGAATTGTCAGCCGGGAAAAAAAAAAAAAAAAAAAAAAAAAAAAAAAAAAAAAAAAAAAAAAAATCGGTTGTTCTGTTGCCACCAATGCTTACGAAAATCGGCCGTTTTTCGTAGATTTTCCAGCATGACTGATAAAAGAAACAAGGATCCGCAAAAATCGTCCGACGACATTGCCCCACTAACGGTGCGCATATCGACCGATTATCCTTTCGGACGAAAATTCGGCCGATAAACGACCCGCCTATGGCCTGCATTAGTCCTCATGCACACTGGACATTTTTACAGCGGCTGTTTTTGGCTTTTGATGTTTTTTTCTACAGCTAGTAAACCCCCCAGCGTGTTATCCTATGTGTCCATGCACACACAGACTGTAATCAATGTTTTTGACTGGGATGTTTTTTGGCTGGAAAAAAAACCCAGGACTAGTGGGCTTCTAGAGGAGTTTTTTAGCTGTAAAAATGCTCTAATGCTGAAAAACACGGCAAGATGCCACAAACCAGTGTTTTTGGATTTTTTTTTTACCCTCCTAATTTGGGGGGGGGTGGTAAAATAAAAACCATGGGAAAATGACGCTAATCGTGCAAAAACGCCGCTAAACACTAATGCAAAAACGTGACTTTACACAGCTAACGTTACCAAAAACATCCAGTGTGCATGAGGACTAAAGCAGAACTATATTCACCTATTCTCCAGTGCTGTAATCTCATGAAGCTCCCTGCTGGCATTTTCAGCCTGGTGGCTTCCAGGTATTGATCCCCAGCCGTTTCCATTGGCTGGGCCAAGACACCATCACCCTGGTGCAGTCCAGTTCAAGTCCGATGAGTTCAGTCATCTTGTCATTGCTGAAATTCTTACACTGAGCTGCCAAGCACAGCTCAATTTACAATGCAGACAGGCAGGTAAAGTAAATTTAATGCAGAACAGACATAGTATATCTCTTCTGCTGCAATAAAAATCCTGCCTATTCCCAATTTTTTTTTAAGTTCCACTTTTAAAGTGCACATACCTGCATCAGTCTCCAGGTTCCTGTTGTTATGCCTAAATTTTGGACTATTCTGATGGGCAATGCTCTGCTATGCTCTAGTAGTGAGGAATCTTGCCTTCCTGCCTCTTGCACATTCCTATTGGCCAGTGATAAGCCAGCAGAAATATGTGCAGGATGGGAGAAAGCGTGAGCAACCTTGACTCTACCAGATGATGTTTCTTCTATTGGACTGCACTTTTTTACCCAAAAGCACTTTGTTTTTGTTTTTTTAAAGTAAGATTTGCTTTAATTAGAAACATTTGGAAAGGAGTGGGAAGAGAACAGACCCGGTTTCAGAAAGTGAATGCAGTGTGCTTCCTCACTGGGGAAATTTTCCCCCAAATGCTGTCCAAGTGACTTAACAAAAATTAAGGGGAAATCATCCTTAAGTAGGGAGAAATTCCAACTTTTTGCTGTGGTCACCAGGACTTGTCAACCCTGTGCACTCTCTCTATTAAAGTCAATGAGTTTCATTTAGTAAAGGCAATTAGGCTGGTCACTTTGCAAGGGAACTTTCCTTTAGCTCAGTGTGTACAAGTTCTGCTGATGGCCATCATCCAATCATGTGCAAGCAAATATCCTTTATTTCATTTTACTTATATGTGATTCGGTATTCTTTGCAAAGTGCATTTTCACCACATTCACTCAGCTAAGGGAAACTTCCTTTGCAAAATGAACAGTCTAATGGCCTTTGCTAAAACAACTCCAATAAGTAAAAGGTTAATATGGCCACACAAAGAGTACAGAGATTTTAACCCCTCCTCACTTCCTCACCCAAAGTTAATAAAATAACCGGTTGTGGTTATTCTTGATTGTGACGCTGAATGAGGAAGTGACTGGGAAAAAAAAAAAAAAAAAAACAAAACACAGTACACAATCAGATTCTGGCAAACAACTTCTAACGTGGCTTGATGTGAGTCAAATGGCCCATACTAATACGAATACTAGAAAGATAGCCCTCTGAAGAGTTAGCTATAGTCTTAGCAGTCATCTCTGGGTGTGTTTTGAAGATTAACTGCAACGGGCCACACAGTCACTACAGGCAGCCATACATGGATCGAGATTCTGCTGGTCCTAAAGGAATCAGGTCTCTGAAATGACTTTTTATCACCCCCTGAAATCCTTAATCTGGAGGAAGGGCAGTACTAGAGGGTCCAGTAAATCTAGTGCCTTGTACACACTATACGTGTGCAGAGGTGCGTGTGGGGTGTCGGAATTGTTGCTCAGCACAACTCTGCTGAACATCCCTACCATGCAGCGTTGTGAGGCTCTCCTGGGCGTAGAGTCCAAAGCGGCTGTAAAGGCTGAAGGTTCTGTTACACCTTCTGCATGCAACTCCCCCCTCGTCAGACCCCCTTATACGTACCTTTAATAAATAGAATTTTGTGACACTTCCTTAGAATAATAAAAAGGTATGCAATGTACTTCTAGAAAGCGCTGCCTCTACACAACGCACTGCTGCCGGTGTTGGTTTTAGGCCTCATGCACACTGAGCATTTGCCCAGCAATCTCTCTCATGACAGTACAAAAGCAGCACAAAAAAATGTGCCTTAGTCCTGGTTCACATCTATGCGGGTGCGGAAATCGCATTGATTATGCTGCTGTTTGAAAACATGTAGGGCTGCCATTTATACTGAATGCCACCCCTACGCATATAAAAACGCAGTGCATTTGCAGGTGTGGGAACCACAGGAAATTGCATGCTGCAAAAGCACCATATGATTTCCCAGCTGCTGTGTTTGTAGAATAGTGGAGGGACCTTTTTCCTGCGGGAAACGCAGGCATGGCAGTCCATTGAAACAAATGGGCTGCAATGCCCACCAGATCCATCCTAATAACATCATGGGCCCCTGGGCAAAGTAATGCACTGGGGCCCCTGCCAGCCTGCTCCAATATACATACATATGCTCAAGAATCAGAGTATAAATAGCTGATAGAATTAAGCATATATGTATTAGTATGTTCAATAAAATTGATTTTAAATAATAAAACATGCCATAAATCAAAGACAAATCAACACAAAGGGCACAGTATGGGGGGTTGGGGTCTGTCTGGAGGACACAATATTGGGACCATGAAGGCACAGTACAGGTCCTGGGGGCACTGCTTGGGCCATCCCAGGACAGCTTAGTAAAAAGCGTGACCGTCCTGGCAAACGTCGGGACAGTTGGCAAGTAGGATGTAATGCAAGATTATCATGGTGCCCCCATGCACCTGGGGCCCCTGGGCAGTGCCCATGCATTAAGACAGCCCTGATGCCCATGCAAATGTGAGCCACAAACCTACACAGAGGTGAACCAGGCCTAAAACCATACTTTGCAAATGCATTTAGGCATGGGCAGCACAGTGGCTAAATGGTTAGCACTTCTGCCTGGCAGTACTAGGGTCACTGGTTCGAATCCCAACCATAGTACCACCTGCCTGGAGTTTCCATGTTCTCCCTGTGCCTGCGTGGGTTTCCTCCGGGTACTCCGGTTTCCTCTCACACTCCATAGACATGCTGGTAGGTAAATTGGATCCTGTCTAAATTGGCCCTAGTATGTGTATGTATGAATGTAAAATTAGTGACCTTAGATTGTACGCCCCTTGAGGGTTAGGGACTGATGTGAATATACAATATATATGTAAAGTGCTGCGTAAATTGACAGCGCTATAAAAGTACCTGTAATAAATAAATGTCAAGTGTTTTGGCGTTCATTCATTTCATTGGCCAGAATATTAATTTCTTCTGGACGCCGAAATGAACAAACGAGCTTAGCATTTAGACGCGCCAGGTGTTTTCCTGTCCAAACGCTCCTCTCCTGAACGCATGAGTGATGTGGTTTTTTTTCTGCCCCTAAACACCGATCGTGTGCATGGACACCTAGGGCTAACATGGAGGCAGAAAAATAAATACGCCAAACGCCCTTCAAAGAGCACGAGGTCTTCTAGTGCAGGTTGGTGTGAACGAGCCCATAGAGCGTTGTTAGTGGCAACTCAGCAGAGGGCGTGTCAGAGCGACGTACGGAGAGCGCCATACACTCATGAAGATGTGGTCAGTGAATGGGGCTCTCCACAGCAATCTGCCCCCCATGACTGCAATCATTCATAACGTTCAAGCAGCCACATCCTGGAGTCTGACCACAGGAGCCAATCACAATACAGACATGACAACCCCCAGCATTCATATTATCACAGGTCACACCACTCTCTCTTCTACAACGACTATAGGAAGGAAAGCCGAACTGTACACAGACTACACCAACCCCTACCGATCATACCGACCCTACGGCCGCCGCTTCCTCCTCCACCGATCTCCCTCCTCCCGGAAGAAGCTCGTGTGGACTGCCAGACAGGAGGAGGTGACGTCACGTCACATGACGCGGCTGTGTGCCCTCCAGAGGCAGGAAGGGAAGGAGGGTGTGAGGAGAGTCAATGGAGACATGTCGTTCTTGGACCCGCTCATTGTGCTGTGTATAGGGGGGGAGGCTGCAGATGGGGAGGAGGGGGATCGTCCACATGGTGTGTCCCTTTGCATGCACTCCTTTTCAGTGAACACGACAAATCTAGGTGGATCAGAGGTCCTGTTAAAGAGGAACTCCAGCCTGTAGGTGCTGACCTCTATTAGGTACTCACCAGCCCAGGGGTCCAGTCCTGTCATCACTCAGACTGGTTCTATGCTGTTCTTTGGGTCACCGATGTCGCCATCTTGAGTGTGGGAAGCCAGCTGTGACTTCCTACTGGCTCCTCACAGCGGAGTTCCACTCACCCTGTCAAAAAATACAAGTCAGCAGCTACAAAAACTGTAGCTGCTGACTATTAAAAAAACAGCCACTTTCCTGTCCCTCGGTGTGTCCCCGCAGCCCGTTTCACCGGCCGTCCTGGATTCCAGGAGGCCAGCATCTTCAGTGTGTGCACCCAGCTGTGACTGCTTGCAGGCTTCACAGCCGGGTACCCACTGCGCATGCGCGAGTAGTGCTGCACTTCATGAATGGTCCTGTAGTCTTCTGGGACCTGTCACATGTACCCAAATGAAATGTTTATAATTTTTACAAACAAATAGAGCTTTCCTTTGGTGGTATTTGATCACCACTGTGTTTAATTCTTATTATATAAAGGAAAAAATACCAAAATCTTGAAAAAAACAATATTATCCAATTTTTAAAAAATCAATTCTCTTCATAAATTTAGGACAAAATGTATTCTGCTACATGTCTTTGGTAAAAACCCCCCAATAAGTGTATATTAATTGGTTTGTTATAGTGTCTGCAAGCTGTACAGTAATGGTGATGATCAGCGACCTTTAAAGGGACTGTGGTAGTGTGTCGGGCAATCTGAAGCTAACAGACCCTTTTTGGGAGGTACAATAACTGACATTGCCAGCAACACTAATGCAGTGATCAGATATAATACTGTACATGGATGCTGTATTAATGACACTGGCTGGGAAGGGGTTAACATCTATTAAGTGGTTGTGTGCCTAACAAGTGTAATGTGTGTAATATGCGCTGCTTTTTTTTATAGATCTGGCTCTTTTTCCCCCTGCTTTGCTGGGGGAATAAACAGCCAGATCGTTGCTCTGCTCTGTGACTGGCTACAGCCAATCAGTAGGTCCACGGCCAAAATCATTGGACGGGCCTGCTGACAAAATTGCGCAGTAGCCAGTCTCTGATTACATGATGTTGGATTGTGACGTCACATTCCCACTTTGTCCAATCAGAGAATGCAAGGCATTCTGTGAATGGCTCCTGTATGGAGTGGCCAACATCCTGTGTTCAGAATGCAGCAGGATGGCTGCTTGCAATTAAGCAAATAGAAATTGGTGAGTTCTTTAATCATATGTGTAGATTGATTGTAGTAAGCATCGAAAGCCATTTTTTCTTTGGAGTAGGGTTTACAAATCCTGACAGGTTGGGGAGATTTTCCTTCAAGCCTGTAAAAATCTTCCCTTGCAGTGAGGCTGCCCCCACAGTGCAACTGTTAAAGTGTTACGAAACCCCGGACCCTGCATTCACTATACCTGGTCTCTCACAGTACATGGACATGCAAGTACTGTAGTAAATATAAACTGCTAAATACCTTTTCTCATGAGCAGAATATAGCAGTCTTGTGACTTCTATCAGTGTCCAGCTGAGCACTGGTTAATCTTGTGGGAGGAGTTTTCATTCTCCTCTGACTGTCCTATGAAATTGGCTGCATGACCCCTGACCCTCTGTTTGGACAGCGCTTATTGGCCCTGTGCTGATCACCTAACCCTCCCCCTTAAAAACCCTTTCTATCAGTACACACTAAACTGAGCAGGTGCAGAGGGACTCCTAGAGCTCTGTACTATCAGCAGATGGATTTGGGACAGTAGAAGAAAGGGGAGGATCAGAGAAGACAAGATCAAACAGCTTTTTTACACAATTAACCCCTTAGGTTCCATAATGAGTATAACAAGCATGCTTTACTGCATATACAGATTGATTTTACTGTTGTGGGTTTAGTAACACTTTAAATGCTCATTTAGGTCTATGGTACTGGAAAAAAAAGCAGCTTTACTAACCTGAACCTTTGCTCCCCCAGCAGCTGGCACTTTTTTCTGCTTGCAAGCCTGTTTCCAGGTCTGACCTGCTGCTGACCTGTGGTGCGTTTGTGCAATTTTGGCAACAGATCCTAGCCAATGATTTATGGCCGGGACCTGCTGATCAGCTGTGTCAAATCACAGCACAGAGCCTGTGTTTACAAACAACATAGCTCACTGTACACACAGAGAAGCAATGTGGCTGTTTCTTCTCTCGGCAAAGCAGGGAGAAAAACAGCCACATCTCTTAGTAAAAGCAGCACATATTACACATTGTTAACCCCTTCCCAGCCAGTGTCATTAGTACAGTGACAGTGTACAATATTAGCACTGATCACTGTATTTGCGTCACTATTGATGTCAGTCAGTTAGTGTACCACCCAGCCAATGCCAACTAGCACCAGATTGCCTGCCACACTATTACAGTCCCACTATATGTCTCTGATTACCGCCATTACCAGTATAGCATCATAGCTGCGTGAATTCCAGTATATATACCATAGTTTGTAGATGCTATAACTTTTGCACAAACCAATTCCCCGCTGCCCTATAGCAAATATACTGCTACAGGGTGGCAGGGGTGTGCAAAATCACATATGTATACGTGATTTTGCATTTCTTGGTAGGGGGCATGTGCGCGCCCTACCCGCGCCACCATTTGCGGTCGCAGCTGTCAATCACTGGGTTCCAGCCGGTGATTCCCCGCCAGCGCCCGGCGATTACCGAGGATCTCTGACGGGGAGGAGGGCTGCCTCGTTAACAGTCCTCCTCCCTGTCAGCTTGGACACACTGCTCTGGATGAAAAGCAGTGTGCTTACAGTAAAACACAAACACACAGCCCCTAGTAAGACAGCACACAGTTAACCCTTTGTTTGCCCCACTTGTTAACCCCTTCCTGCCCAGTGTCATTAGTACAGTGTCAGTGCTTTTTAGTAGCACCGATTACTGTATTGGTGTCACTGGGGATGTCAGTAACACCAAGTCAGTTCCCCCCCCCCCAGTGTCAGAATGCCCACTGCAGTTCTGCTTTAAGTCGCTGATCGCCGCCATTACTAGTAAAAATGAAAAAAAAAAAATCCCTGTATATATACCGCCATTTGTAAATGCTATAACTTTCAGGTAAACCAATTAATTTACATGTATTGGGATTTCTTTTTAGCAAATACATGTAGCAGAATACATTTTGGCCTAAATTTATGATGAAATGAGATTTTTTTTATTTTTTTTTTACTGAACATGTTTAATAGCAAAAAGTCAAAAATATTGTTTTTTTTTCTCATAATTGTCGGTCTCTTTTTTTTATAGTGCAAAAAATAAAAAACACACGCAGGTGATCAAATAACACCAAAATAATTAGTGAGAAAAAAAAGACATAAATTTCATTTGGGAGCAGTGTTGCATGACCGCACAACTGTAACGCAGCACTGTAAAGCAAAAATGGCCTGGTCAGGAAGGGGGGGGGGCGGGGGGTAAATCCTCTGCAGGGCAAGTGGTTAAATCAACAAACCATGTAACTGCTAAATTTCTTTTAGTTTGCAAAAATAAGTGACATAAAATGCTACCAGCACCAATATTAAAGACAAAATATATATTAACAAATATAAATTAACTGTATTAACCAATCTGACAGAGTAAAAAACAAAAAAAAAAAAAAAACCTCCACAGTGATCAGCAGCCACCAGCTGGCTTGCAGTAAGGGACTGAGTCTGAGAGGAACACTGGAAGGAGCAGCAGCTCAGCTGCTACACTGGTCCCAGGCATCTTCCTCTGTCTAAATGGTCATGTGTGTGGGCAGGCTGTGAAACAATTGTGCAGAATAAAGATACCATCATTCTCTGTGTATGGGGAGAGGGGGACTCTGCAGAGAAATAAAGAATTCATAAAAGAGGTTCATAGGCCACACAGAGAGAGTGCTGGCCTGTGCTGCCCCCAGGCACCCCTAGGTGGTACTGCTTAGTTTGCCTAGTGGAAGCACCGGCCCTGCTGACACTTCAAACCTGAGCGTTTTTCAGGTGATTTTGGAGGGGATTTTTTTGCATACTTAAATGCACATTTTTGTGTATTTGCACATGTATGCAAGCTCAGGCTTTCTTCGTATCCTGGATCCTACAGACATGGGCTTACCATGGCTGTTTTGCTATGTGGGAGGATATGATTCCCGATCTGGGTATACCTGCTTCCCAATGTCCTCCCAGGAGGATATACTATTGTAATGGGGTCATGATAAATAGGTTGTGCCCACATCCACATTCAGCATAGCAAGGCCTTGCCCCACCATTTTTTAATTTAGCCAAGTGGGTGGAAAGAAGGAGGAGAGCAGAAGAAACAGTCATTTAGACACAAAAACAGGCAAATATGCTTTGTGTGTTTACAGGTGCTTCCATTGAAGCCTATGAGGGTAATTATGCACTTTATATATAGTTTGCAGTGATATTTATTAAATTTTTTTTTTTCTTTCTTTTCACATGAGTGCTGTGACACTGGAGTGTTTTTTTTTGCATGATACACGTGTGGCACTTTAGTTTTGGGATTTAAAAGGTAATATACTATGTTGAGATTTTGTTTTTTGAGGTATTTGAAGAGCACCTGTGATTGATTTGCATCTTCTTCAGTGGAGTAGGAAGCGTCTTCCTATCAAGAAATTGATCTTTGTTTGGACACATTATTTGGACACTTTGCATATTGGGACTTTATTTTATTTTTGTTCTTTTATATATATTTGATATTTTTTATTTTTGGGTAATCTCTTTGGGTCTTGATTTTTTCACTATAATTGTGGGCTTTTGGGTTTAAGTCAATGAATATATGAATGGGACATATGTCACGTACCTTCTGTACCTGGTTTTCCAGATCCAATATTGGATCTATGGACAGCCTGAAAACAGACTTGTGTCAATGTTACATCAGACTAAAGCCGGACATACATTTATTTATTTCAGGTACTTATATAGCGCTGTCAATTTTATGCAGCGCTTTACATATATATTGTACATTCACATCAGTCCCTAACCCTCAAGGGGTGTACAATCTAAGGTCCCTAACTCACATTCATACTGTGAGGAACAGAAGTATTTGAACACCCTGCGATTTTGCAAGTTCTCCCACTTAGAAATCATGGAGGGAGACAGAATTTAAAAAATAATTCAGGAAATCACATTGTATGATTTTTAAAGAATTTATTTGTCTTGCACTGCTGAACATAAGTATTTGAACACCTGTGAAAATCAGTGTTAATATTTGGTACAGAAGCCTTTGTTTGCAATTACAGAGGTCAAACGTTTCCTGTAGTTCTTGACCAGGTTTGCACACACTGCAACAGGGATTTTGGCCCACTCCTCCACACAGATCTCCTCTAGATCTGTCAGGTTTCGGGGCTGTCGCTGAGCAACACGGAGTTTCAGCTCCTCAAAGATGTTCTATTGGATTTAGGTCTGGAGACTGGCTAGGCCACTCCAGAACCTTGATATGCTTCTTACGGAGCCACTCCTTGGTTATTTTCGGGTCGTTGTCATGTTGAAAGACCCAGCCACGACCCATCTTCAATGCTCTGACTGAGGGAAGGAGGTTGTTGCTCAAAATCTCACAATAAATGGCCCCATTCATACTCTCTTTAATACAGTGCAGTTGTCCTGTCCCCTTCGCAGAAAAGCACCCCCAAAGCATGATGTTACCACCCCCATGCTTCACAGTAGGGATGGTGTTCTTGGGATGCACCTCATCCTTCTTTTTTCCTCCAAACATGACAAGTGAAGTTTAGACCAAAAAGTTCTACTTTGGTCTCATCTGACCACATGACTTTCTCCCATGCCTCCTCTGGATCATCCATATGGTCATTGGCAAACTTCAGACGGGCCTGGACATGTGATGACTTGAGCAGGGGAACCTTCCGTGCAATGCATGATTTGAAACCAGGACGGCATAGTGTTCTACCGACAGTGACCTTTGAAATTGTGGTCCCAGCTCTCTTCATGTCATTGACCAGCTCCTCCCTTGTAGTTCTGGGCTGATTCCTCACCTTTCTTATCATCAGTGATACCCCACGAGGTGAGATCTTGCATGGAGCCCCAGTCCGAGGGAGATTGACAGTTGTCTTTAGCCTTTTCCATTTTCTAACAATTGCTCCAACAGTTGATCTATTTTCACCAAGCTGCTTGGCAATTCCCCCGTAGCCCTTTCCAGCCTTGTGGAGGTCCACAATTTTGTCTCTGGTGTCTTTTGACAGCTCTTTGGTCTTGCCCATGGTAGTAGTTGGCGTCTGACTGACTGTGGGGTGGACAGGTGTCTTTAAAGAGCTCAGACAGGTGCTACTAAGTTAGATTAATGAGTGGAGTAGAAGTGGACTTTTTAAAGGCACAGTAACAGGTATTTGAGAGCCAGAATTATTGCTGTTTCTTAGGTGTTCAAATACTTATGTTTAGCAGTGCAAGACAAATACATTCTTTAAAAGTCATACAATGTGATTTCCTGAATTTTTTTTTTTTATTCTGTCTCTCAGAGTGGGAATGCACCTACAATGTGAATTTCGGACCCCTCCATGATTTCTAAGTGGGAGAACTTGCAAAATCGCAGGGTGTTCAAATACTTCTGTTCCTCAGTGTACATACACTTACTAGGGCCAATTAAGCTACCAGCATCTCTTTGGAGTGTGGGAGGAAACTGGAATACCCAGAGGAAACCCACGCAGTCACAGGGAGAGAACATGCAAACTCCAGGCAGGAGGTGCCGTGGTTGGGAATTGAACCAGCAACCCTAGTACTGCCAGACGGAAGTGCTAACCATTTAGCCACTGTTCTGCCCCATGGGTTGAATTCCAAAAGAATTTTCTTTCCGAAATCTTTTCTAAGAATTTTCATTCGAATTTTGCACCATTAGTGGGTTACATCGAATTTGAGTGATCGGGCATGTTTGAAATTTTTCATAAAAATTAACGATTTACAAATCAATGATGGGAGAATCATGCGAGAAATATAAATGACAAAGAACTGAGCATGAGCTGTGACCTGGAAAGAACAGAAAATTCTTGGTCATGAAAATTCTTTTCTGTAGCAACACAAGGTGAAAATAAATGCTTGGTTGGTTAAATTTCAAAATCAATGGTGGCACCATCGGATTACAAAGCGCACAAAATTCCAGATTTTCTAAAGTAAATTTGTTCGAAATTCGACCCATGTATGGCCTTCATAGCTCTGGGTCCGGAAAAATGGACAGACAAGGAGGTACTTGGATATAATGTGACGTAAATCTATTTACATCCGCTGACCATAAACTTATATAAAACTTCAGGTCAGGTGACCTGATTGTCCCACCCGCGAAGAAGGGGCCTTAGAACAATCACATATCTAATTTTCAAACAGGTTGTCAGTGCATATGCAAAAAGATCACAAGATTTCACAAAAGACATCATAAAAGCAAACCAGTTGCTTAAAATAAAAGGAATAGAAATATAGAAAGTGACCTAAATTCTTCAGGACTAAAAAGTTGAAATGTGGCACATGCCCCAAATCAGCAATTGGACCCCAAGAACATAACTTAACTTATGCAGGCCATACATGGGTCGAATTCTGAACAAATTGTCTTTAGAAAATATTTTCTAAGTACTTTTGTTCTAATTTCGCACCATTATTGGTGAACAGCATTGGCTGATTTTATAGCGACCATCAAATTTGAGGGATTGGGCATGTTAGAAATTTTTGGAAAAACAAATTTCGAATCAATGATGGGAAAATTGTGCGAGACGTAATCAAAAAAGAAATGAGCACGAGCTGTGACCTGGAAAGAAAAGAGAATTCTTGGCCACAAAAACTCTTTTCTATAGCAACATGAAGTGAAATTGAAGGCTTGGTTGGCTGAAATTCGATATTAATGGTGGCACCATCGGATTAAGCTAGCCATACACAGGTCGAATTCTGAAAGAATTTTCTTTCGAAAATCGTAACTATGAATTTTTGTTCGAATTTCGCACCATTAGTGGAGAACAGCATCAACTGATTTTCGAGCGACCATCAAATTTGAGTGATTGGGCATGTTGGAAA